GAATTTATACCGGAAATTATCAAACGAGCAGAGACGTAACGGTACAGCATTGAAATCTTCGTCTAAAATATAGCAACAATGTTTGGAAACATGATATAATTAAAATTCCACATATTTAAGTAGAATCGATCTTTCATTATGTTCTAAGTCAACTGAAACAGTCTGACAGCATGTCGGGCATGGTACGCAATAATATCATTAATAATTACATTTTAGAAACATACAGTTTAATTAAATACAAAAATTGAATTTAACTGATATGTGTAACAACATATTTACATTGAACCATCTATTTTAAGTATATTGTAAACACATAGCAACAGTGTATTCTAAATGACTTTTATTTTAATAAAGATTTTTCGTACACTCAAATGGAAGTTTTATCTGTTATAACTAACACTAAAGGTCATATAATACACCAATGTTTAACTCTCTCTTGACTTCAGTTCGTGATCATGATTTTTAACTTTATTCTAAGTGGTTTGAAACACTCTGATAATTTTCGGAAACAGTATGTAATACATTAACCCTTTAAACGTTATATAAAGAACTTTTAAATTTCAGTATTTAAGATATAATGTACATATGTAGAGTTCATTGTTTAATATATTGTGTATAGATATTGTATTATGGTCTAATTGAATATATTTATCGATCTGTAAACGTGAATATTAATTAGAATTTATTATTATAAAATTATTATAGTAACTGATGTGTTTTGTTAAAAACACTGAATTGTTATCAAAACTTTAATCACTTGATCCTAGCTAGCCAGTTATTGCAAATAGACTTTGTCATACTAATCCCATGAACCAAACCTGTCAGTAGCCTTGAATATCAAACACTTTGGACTGTCATGCTCGAACTCTCCTTTATTTCTACAGTGCAACACAGTTCTTACTATGCAAACCATATAGACTTGGTCAACTCAGAACTGACCTTTGTCATTCTAAGCAGATCGTTTTTTATAACTTGTATATTTTTAAGCCGGTCAGTGATCTTCAATGAGTCAGACTCGGTAAACTTTGTGTTGAGTTAAAGAAAGCTTTAGATGACTAGTCTTTCTTCTTACAATAACTATGTCTGAGAAGTAATGTTAAACAGTATTAATGTTTGACATCAGATATGAGTTCGTTAGTCTTGTGAACGAACAATAGAAACAACATGCATACATTTGTATGCGTATTTCGTGATTGTATGCTTTCATTGATGCAAATATCGCTAATGTGGTCCTCAAAGATTTATGGTAAGTGTTGTTAGTCTATAATAATAATCAATCATATGTAGTAAAATGTAAGTTGTAATCTCATTCAAACATGTTACGTTAAATATTGTTTTTGACAACCTGTAGTAGTACTGTCACAGTATATTTGTTAAAATTCTACAGTAATAATACTAATCAAATATATGTGAAAGTCAATCTTTGTAAAAACATGAGATAAAATAACATGATAAACTATTTTGTCCCAAATTAGTAGAAGTGTTATTGCATAATAAATGTTTTATTGACAATGTAAAATGTTGTATAAAGTATAAGTTATAATTATCACCCTTTTTAGGGCGATTTAAACATACAGACATGTATATGTACCTGGTAAAATACATGTTGTGACCATGTTATGTTAAATAATGTTTTTGACATTTTATTATATTCATGTCACTGAAAATCTTTAAACACTTGGTTGATAATTGAAATAGTAATTTTTTTTTTATCAAGATATCATCCTTTTCGGATATGAAATTTAATTAACTGATGATTTTGTGTTGAACATCCTTTTTTAGGATGATCTAATTAACTAATGAATTAGTGTTAAGCCTCCTTTTTAGGACGAATTAATTATAACTTATTTATTGAATTAACTATAAATGATTTAATGAATTAGTTTTAAGCATCCTTTGTATGACGATTTAATTATAAATTATTTAATTAACTATCGAATAAGTGATTAATTATATTCTTGTTGAGACATGTATTGTATGAGTCATGACCGCCTAGAAACACGTTCTCTAGTTTGTGGTAGGATGATTTAATTATTAATCAATTAACTAATGAATTAACATTCACTGACCTTTTTTATGATGAGTTAATTAACTGTCGAATTTGTGCTTAATTAGTCTAGGACATATTAATGTGCTTAATTAGTCTAGGACACATTAACGTGCTTACTTAGTCTAGGACATATTAACGTGCTAAATTAGTCTAGGACACATTAACGTGCTTAATTAGTCTAGGACACATTAACGTGCTTAATTAGTCTAGGACACATTAGCGTGCTTAATCAGTCTAGGACACATTAATGTGCTTAATTAGTCTAGGACACATTAACGTGCTTAATTAGTCTAGGACACATTAATGTGCTTAATTAGTACTAATTAAGTACGTTAATCTGTCCTATACTAATTAAGTACGTTAATATGTGCTAGACTGATTAAGCACGTTAATCTGTCCTAGACTAATTAAGTACGTTAATCTGTCCTATACTAATTAAGTACGTTAATATGTGCTAGACTGATTAAGCACGTTAATATGTGCTAGATAGGACAGATTAACGTGCTTGATCAGCCTGAAACTCTCTCTCTCTCTATCTAGGTACCATATCCATTCTGGACATTGGTGACCATGGTCTTCCACAGATCTCTTCTCCTTAAGACACAAATAATTTCCAATGTCAATACATTCATTCATTTAGATAGACTTTTGACATAAGTCAATCTCTGTCTTCTACGGTCTCTCCTTCCTTCAATATTTCCAGTTATGATCAGACTTTCACTTTCTTCTTTCCTTATAACGTGTCCGAGAAACTCTAATTGTCTCTTTCCAGTGTTAGTCAGCAACTTGCTCATCACAAAATATTTCAATTTGAGGTGTAACTTCTCCAACTTTTGTTCAAGGTGCTCCTTAAGAACCACAACTCAATTGCTTCAGTTTTCATTTTCACACTTGACGACAGTGTTCAACATTCTGATACATTCGTGAGAATTGTTTTAACATAACAATCCAAAACTCTTAACTTCGTCTCCATAGACAGTTTACTGTTTGTCACTAAGTTTTTAATTTTTAGAAATGCGTCCCTCGCCATCGCTATTCTACGTTTTATTTCATGACCACATTTTTACCATCTGATGTTATCTAGTCTCCCAGGTAGTTAAATTTACTGACCTGCCTTATCTGTTCGTTATCTACTTTAGCATTGCATACAGGAATGATATTTTTCTTTATAATTATCATGCCTTCTGTTTTCCCACAGTTAATACTTAAACTTTTTCTTTTCACTTTCACTAACAACTTTATCTAAACTTTTATCCTTATGCTTATCCTCAGCATCAGTTATTAAAACTGAGTCGTCAGCTTAACTCACTTTGTTAAAATTCTGTCAGCCAATGATCAGCTTTGGTAAATCCTCAATCATCCTCAAGATTTTCTCACTGTACAACTGAAACAAGTCAGATGAAAAGATACAGCTTTGCCTCACACCTTGGACGAAACAGCTTAAGACACAATGCATTAACGTGCTTAAATAGCCTAGTAAACAATACATTAACATGCTCAATCAATAATACTTTAATGTGCTTAATCAGTCTATGATACAGTACGCTAAAGTGCTTTGTGATTCTAAGACATAATAGTTTAACCTAATGAATAAAAGTAATACACCATATAAACCACGATTATTTATTATTGTAATAATAAATATGGAGTTTAACTGGTGTATTTTTTATTTATTAAATACAACAAGATAGGTGTTTGTTATATTTCGCGCAAAACTACTCGAGGTCTATCTGCGATATCCGTCCCTATTTTCTAAGGGAATGCAGCTAGATAACACCACCCACCACCAACTCTTGTGCTACTCTTTACCATCGAATAGTGAGATTGGCCGTCACATTATAATGCTTCCATGGCTGAAAGTGAAAGTTCAAACATGTTAGGTGATAAGATTTGTACCCGTGACTCCACCAGACCAGGACAGACTCCAGATATACGAGTAAGCATTATATTAACCTCAGCCTAGGACACAATTTATTTATATGCACATTTAGCCGAGGACAAAATGTATTAACTTCTCAAGCAGTCTAGAACACATACATTAATATAAGCCTATAATACAAAACATGCACTGTTTAATCAGCCTGGGACACAAAACATTAACTGTTTAAATCACCCTACGACACAATGCATTAACGTGTTTAATTAGCGTAGGACACAATACTTTACCGTGCGAAATTAGTCTAAGACACATTACATTAAGCTAAGTCCAGGACAATATTCACTAATGTGCTTAATCAATCTATGACACAATATATTAACGGGCTTAATAAGCCTAGGACATAATTTATTAACGTGATTATTTGAAGTAGGATATAATATATCAACGTCATTTTGTGTGAAACAGTTTTTATTTTATCGTGATGTATGTAAAATCTTAGTGAACTACGATGCCTGTGATAAAATATAACAGCTGTTTCGATCATGTGTGTTTTTGTGGTTAGAACAGATGCTCCAGTAAAGAGTGGTTTTATGTTTAAGATAAGGGATGTAATTGAAACAGCTAAATTCTTTCTGATAACGCGAAGCTTTAGTGATACTCATCTCCGAACTTTACGTTGTAAATCGGACACTTTGAAAATAGCACCACTCTTGATGTCATGTGTAAAACCGATAATCATATAGAGCAGAACGGCTGCAGCCTTCAAAAAACACCTTTTAATTAAAACTAGTACAATATTTGTGGAAGTCGTCATCAACTGCATGACGTAACATTCATAGGGTCAACTATGTAGTGAGCCAAAAGAAATATAACAACGCTAGTTACATTAGTATCGACTTACTGAGTGTGTATGAAGGCTTAATGCTAACGCTAGTTACATTAGTATCTACTTACAGAGTGTGTATGAAGGCTTAATGCTAACGCTAGTTACATTAGTATCGACTTACCGAGTGTGTATGAAGGCTTAATGCTAACGCTAGTTACATTAGTATCGACTTATCGAGTGTGTATGAAGGCTTAATGCTAAAATCTCTAGATTATATACACTTATTTTGCAACAATTTATTTTGCTTATTAGAACGGTAAGTAAACTTGCTAACTACCTTGTTTCTCAGATGTTACAAAAGTTTTATTAAAACGATTTTTTGCAGAATCTTTCGAATCTCTCTTTATCGTAATATAAGTAAGCATCGTTATGTAAAAAAAATATACTCCAGGAAAGATTCTAGGAACTAAATCATAAATTTGTTAGGTTTTTCTCGCCTTATAACTTCCCCTTTTTTTCAAATCTCTAATGTATTGATTAAAGAGATGAAATCTATTCTGATAATTATACCAATGAGACGGTTGGAAAATATATAGAATTACACTTTGCTAAATTATAGCGAACTGTTAATATCGTTTCTTGTAGGTTTCTAACGTCATGAATGTGGTAACCTTGTTTCTTGTCAGTTCCTAACAGGGATCCATTTCCTATCAGGGATGGTAAACGTATAACTATTGTTACGTCTCCGTTTGTTAATTAACTTCCCGTAACTTCGTTCCGACGAAACTTTAGCGACACAAGTCCTTACTTAATAAAACTGGTTTATTCTTTCCGAATACAACTTTACGATACACTTATTTTCAACAATCGCTCTATAACAAAT